CCACAAGGTCCACCCAAAACAGGGATGGGGAGCCCTCAAACCTAATGGCCAGCAGATCCAGAACTCTGGCAATGGCACATTAGGCACCATTTTACACAGTGTGGCAAAGGTTTTGAGACTTCAGGGACAACACTGAGCTGTGCATATGCTGAGCTGGGAGCAAACTCACTGAGCTCATTGCACTTCACTGGTCCCACAGGGAAAATAATACTGACTTTGGCATTTTACAACTCAAAATAGGCCCATGTGGCCCTCAGACCTAGGTCAGCAGGTTCCAGCAAGATCAGCACCACCAAATACCTAGCTATATAGGACACCTGGTGTCTCTCTAATCCTAAAACTGCACAAACAGAAAGGGGGAGGAATGTACAGACAACGGTGCAACAACAGCACGGTATCACAGGAGGTAAAGTGCTGAGTCAGGAGCTGGGGCTATGGGGACCATGGAAGTCTAACATAAGAGCTCAGATCTGAAACTCGCTGGAAAGAGTGGCACAAGTGACTGCAAACAGTCATCTACCAACCACAATAAATAAAATCAAATTGCAGAGCTTTGGTGACACAGCTTAGAAATGTGCCCCAAGGCGAAGAATCTGTTAACCAGAAGTACAATGACCAAGAGCAAAAACAAGGGACAGAAGCACAATGAATATTACTAAAGACTCTCCTGCTGAAGAGCAAAACCCTTTGCCAAATTCAGAGTTAACTGAGGAAGACATCAAGAAAATGGGGGTTATAGAATTCAAAACACTTGCTATTAAGCTTATCAACAATGAGAAGCACATGCAAGAATTTAAGGAATATGTCACAAAGGAAATAGCAACACTGAAACAAAATCAAGCTAAATTATTGGAAATGAAGAATGCAATAGAGCAAATAAAAATTTAGTGAGAAGTATCAATAATAGAATAAAGGAGGCAGAAGAAAGGATTTCAGAATTGGCAGATATTTCTCGTCACAATGGGAAAACAAAAAGCTGGAAGCAGAGTTGGGTTAAGGCAAAAAAAGTATTCAAGAATTGAGACACTTTTAAAAGGCCAAATATAAGAGTTATGGGTATCCCAGAAGGTGCAGAAAGAGAAGCTTGGTTTACAAATGTATTTAATGAAATAAAGGAACATTTCCGTAATCTGGAGAACAAATTGGAAAACATCCAGGAGGGTCACAGAACTCCCAAACAGGGTTGACCAAAAGCGATCTTCACCATAACACATGATCATCAAGCTCTCTCCAATTGAATGTAAGGAAAAGATCCTTAAATGTGCACTTAAAAAAAAAATCAACAGACATATAAAGGAACGCCAATTACATTCACAGCTGACCTCTCACAGGAAACTCTACAGACCAGAAGAGAATGGAGTAACATATTCCAGAATCTAAAAGCAAAAAATTGTTGGCCTGGAATAACACAAAGCTTTTCTTTGTCTTTGAAAATGAAATAAAATTCTTCCACAGTAAAGAAAAGTTAGAAGAATACACCTAACCTAACCTGCACTACTGCAAAGGATATTTCAAGATGTTCTCTTGATAGAAAAGAGGAATAGCACCCACCAAAACCAAAGGCAAATGTGAAGAACATCCCAGTGAAATAACAGAAGTCTAAATCAATGAATAACCCATTGCCAAATTTGACAGGATCAAATTACCATCTATTTATTTTAACCCTGAATGTAAATGGCTTGAATTCATCAAACATTAGTAGACTGGATTAAAAACACAAAATCTGTATTTGTTGCCTACAGTAGATACATCTCACCAACGAAGATCAGCGGAAACTATACCTCAAGGATATTGATGTTTTTAGTTTCAATTATACAAAACACTTTTTTTCTCAAATTCTTCTCTGACTCACAGATAATACAGTAGCATCATTTTCTTCAAAAATGTTCTTGATTTTCATTTCTTCAGCAACACATTAGTCATTCAGTAGCATGTTATTTAATTTCATGGTGTTGTTAATTTCTTTCTTCTTCCTGTTGATTTTGTTTTGTGGCTTTTCATTTAAGGGGATGTATAGTAACTGTGTAATGAAGGCTATCACATCCAGTGTCATGTTGTTTAACTTCATGGCATTGTAAATTTCTGGTTTTTTCTTCCTGTTGTTGGTTTTGCTTTGTGGCTTATCACTTTGAGGGGATTTCCAGTGACTGTAGTGGAGACTGACATGTCCAGATGTGAGGACATGGTGCAGTGTGCAGCTCTACCTCCGCATCAAGGATGGACTGTTGGCTGTGTCCAGACAATGGGATGCTGGACTCCCTGCCATTGTCCATGGCCACAATAATGGTTTTATGACTGTTTATGCTGCTGTAACGATATGGGACAACTCAATGGGGAAAGGAGCAGTTAGCGAAGGGCGTGGGGAAAATCCCAGCTCCTATGGAACTGTATCATAAACTGGTAATACTTTTAGAAAGTTAAAAAGAATACAATATACTGGTCACCTACTGCATCACAACACTGTATCACCAAGTTCTGTGCATTGTCTCACTCTGTTTTTACAATTATCCTACGAGCCAAGCAAGCACTTTTACAATTCCCATCCATTACTAGGACAAAAATGTCCTTTAAATACTTTTTCTATAAAAGCCAGAGATTACAGCAAATGTTAGAAAAACGTATTTTTTCACATATACAGATAGTACATGTATATGTTTAAAAGACTTTAACTTTCATTTTTTCTCTTGATCAATGCTGAATTCAAACTTTTAACTTGTATAAACTGCAAAGTTCAATTGAAGTAAATAACTAAATTGCTTCATTCTGTGTTTGTATGCATGTAACATTTTTTGCCAGGTAGTATCACGCAGAAACCAGATAGGTTTATCTTGAAAAACAGAAATTCTATCTGATAAGCTGTATTTATCAGCAAGCATCTGAAAAGTCACAACACAGAAGAAAGCTAAAAGCACACACTCAAGGAAAACTACAGAAGCTAATGGAGGCTACAGTAGAAAATGCATAAGATAGTCCAATCCATAAATAGAAATGCTTCACTTTCAAAAGCTCAATAGGGTCTCAAACAATGACTGAAACAGAGAATAAAAAATACTGTTTCAAATACGTCCTAACATGGAATTTTACTTCAGCTAAAGTCTAGTTTCTCAGGGATTCCATAACAAAATACCAGAAACATGGTGCCTAAAAAGAAGAGGCTGATGTCTCACATCTGTGAGACAGGTGCTGGCAAGGCCGTGCCGCCTCTGAGACCTGTAGAACACCCCTTCCTTGCGCCTTCCCGGGGTGTGGTCATGTGTCAGCATGCAGATGCAGCCATCAATCCCTGTCTCCCTCACAACACAGCTGTAACCCCTGCCCCACGAGTCCGCCCCTTTCTATAACAATACTAGTGATCACACAGACTCCATGCTGCAGTATGACCTCAACTGCTGCACCAATTACATCTCAAACACCCTATATTCAAGTAAGGTCACATTTTTAGTTACTAAGGGTTAGGAATTCAATATCCTCTTGGAAGCACAGTTCAATCCATTACACATATAAAAGAAAACTAGTTGATCATCAATTCTAAGATGCCAAGGTTCTAAGTATGCATGAGGCAGAAAATGCAACATTATACATGAACTATAGAGTCAGAACTCATTTTACTTCTGTTCATTCAACAAATATGAATTTGTTAGGCACTTTGTTATATACTGAAAACACATAGAAAATGAATTCCTGCCCATGTAGCTCCAGTGTTCAAATAGAACAAGAATGTCACTTTTTAAGAATCTACTACATTCCAGGTGCTGCAGCAAAAATGCACAAGTTAACTCGTTAGCTTTCACAATAACTTATTAAACACTTTCATCCTCTTTACCACATGACAAAGTAGAGCCACGAGACCTAAGTAGCTGCTTGTTGAAAGTTACCATCCCTTTTATAAATTGGTCTTTTGTCATTGTTAAATGTCCTCTTTTTCTTTAGTAATACTCCTTACCTTAAGTCTATTATTTGATATTAATATAGTTACTTCTGCTTTCTCAAGTTTACTTTCTGTCAATGCTAAAAGGTTTGGATGATACTTTCAAGAATACACATCTAAGCATTCTGAGTTAAACGTGAAATACCGAAAGAGCACCTCAGTGCTCAGTTTCAGCAGTGGAGAACAGCCCAGGAGTTGGGGCTCCTGCCACCCCATGGGAGAGCCACAGGAAACTCGCGGCTCATGGCTTCAACCTGGCCTGAGAGTGAACCAGCAGATGGAGGTGTTCTCTCTTCCTGTCCCTTTCCCGCGCTCTCTGTAGTTCTGCCTTTCAAATAAATAAATGTAGAGAAACTGAAATTCACTATTTCAGTATTATCGCCTTTTAGAAACCCATTTCCTTATAACATACACATTGTGTGCACATAGTGTTTTTTTAAGCTTAATACATATACAAAAATTCATAAAACTTCCTTTTAAAACATTTTTAATGATAAATTTCTACCAATTCACACTGGCTTTTTGGGGCCAGTGTGATGGCTCAACAAGTTAATCCTCAGCCTACAATCACCAGTGTCCCATATGGGTACCAATTCATGTCCCGTCCAGCTCGCTGCTTGTGACCTGGGAAAGCAGTCGAGGACAGCCCAAAGCCTTGGGACCCTGCACCCGCGTGGGAGACTCGGGAGAAACTAAACTCCTGGCTCCGGCTCAACTCAGCTCTGACTGATGCGGCCACCAGAGGATAGAAGAGCCTTCTGTCTGCATTTCTTTCTCTCTTTAAATCTACCTTTCCAATAACAGTAAGTCTTTGGGGAAAAAAACTGCCCTTTCACCTAATTATTTAGATGAAGCATCATTTAATTTAAAATAAGTAATATACACCAACTTATATAACAACTTTATAATTACCCTTCATGGCAGCTAACATTCCAGACTACAGAGGGAAAGTTAAAATTTTATCACATGGGAAGGAAAGAAGAAAAAAATTTAAAATACAGACATAATTTACTGAAACGACTTATATACTGACCATCTGGCCACTTTCATGTTAACTCAAACAATTTCTCACCTGCAGCTTCAATTCTTCTACGTCTTTAGTTTTCTGCACTAACTCGCCTCGTAGCTCCTCGAGCAGCAGCTGGAATTTCTCCTGGTGAGTCTGTTTCTCGCTTAACAGTCGCTTGAGTTCGTTCTGTGACTTTATGTATTCATCCTGCAATCTGATTTTTAAAAGATAATTTAACATTAAGCATATTCTCTGTTTTCTAATTCAGCATTTTATGTAAACTAACCAAAGGCAGAAAAAACTAAGAGTAGCAACACACACTCCATTAAACTCACAAATACCTGTTCTTCACTGAGATCTATTCAAATTATTAATATTGTAGTTTTTGAAGTAATTTTTCTTTCAGGGGAAAGAGATACCTCAATATATTTATCTTTCTAGTTTCAACATAAGATTTATACAAATTCACAAATCATACTTAATTTTGATTAAAATTATAACGCAAAAACCTTACTGTATTTAAAATTCTAAATGTGGGCCTGGCATGGTAGCCTAGTGGTTAAAGCCCTCACCTTGAATGCGCCAGGATCCATATGGGCACCAGTTTTAATCCCAACAACCCCACTTCCCATCCAGCTCCATACTTGCAGCCTGGGAAAGCAGTCAAGGATGGCCCAAAGCCTTGGGACCCCGCACCGGCATGGGAGACCTGGAAGAGGTTCCGGGCTTTAGGTCGGCTCTGTTCTGGCCGTTTGGGGAGTGAATCATCGGATGGAAGATCTTCCTCTCTATCTCTCCTCCTCTCTGTACATCTGACTTTTCAATAAAAATAAATAAATCTAAAGTTTTAAATGTATACACTAAAAAACAAGAAAATTTTACTGATTATTCCAAAGAATTAGCCAAATTCAAGAGATAATTTTAAACTAAATTAACTAATTTACCTTGTGTGTTCAGCTTTCAAAGTCTGATAATTAGTTTTATGATGTTCACATCGTAACCTCTCATCAATTAATACTTTTTGGAATTCAGATTGAGAATTTGTCAGTCCACTGTCCCCGCCAGGAGCAAAAAGATTGGGAAATGCATCCATTTTAGTAGGTGATCTGATAACCATGTAAAAACACGTTTTGTCTTCCTGTTTTAATTTTCTTTCTAAGAGTATTTCTTGCTTCTTGATGAAGCAGAATTTCAGGAGGCCAAATTATACCTGCACAGAAAAATACACTTCATTAGTGATCAGTAAAATTAGTTACTTTTTATTACTTGTATTTCTTTCCACTTTCATAATGAAGACCAGCTTTCAGATTTCCAATTATTCTTAAAACAAAATTTAACAGAGTTGACACATAACTTAAAAGTTTTTCTTTACTGTAAAGATTGACCTTCAACGTCAAATTTTTAAGCAGAAACCATACCAAAGTACAGGCATTTCCAATGTGACAATCTGAGGTTCCCAAACAGGAACCCCATTTCCTGAAACTACTATAATAAGTTTGAAGTGTGTATTCTGGTATAAAATTCACTTCCCCAAATCAGAGGGAAAGCCACTTGTAGCTTAGTGAGAGATCAGTGTTCACAAAGAGGACCTCAAGCACATGATTGTGTCAAGATTAGTGGTACAGGGACCTTTTGACACAGAGCAAACCGCATTCAATCTGCAGATTCAGATCACAGTGACCACCTCCTGTGTGTTAGGCATTGTGCAAGAAACAGGAAGTCAAACTATTTCTGAAACATTGACCCCCTATCATTGCTGAGAGCTACATTTTGACTCCAGCTCAGCCCCAACCATTGCATTTGGGCAATTAAGTAGGAAATTCTCTCTGCCTTTAAAATAAAGTTTTACGTGTCTAGTGCATTGAAGAGTAAAAAATGATGAACTGCTCTTAAAATAATTAAGAACAAAAAATATTAATCAAATAGTTCAGTCTCTTTAACTTCATTAATCTTTCTCTAGAACATAATACTTTTTTTTCCCTCCTGATAGCTTTCATGAGTTACCAGGAATTACTTTTTCTTACTAAAAAAAGGATTGTGGCCTTTGCAAACCAACCACGAAATTACTCAGTCTTGCTTGAAATGTATTATCTCTGCTAAATTAGTTTGATGTCTACATATTACATAAGACCTTTATAATCAGGATTGCTTTGATTTCCTGTGAAATTATATTTTAACAATGGGAAGGGAAGTCCTTTAAGGATGCTTTACACTTTAAGTTAATATAAATGTGCACTAGAATGCAACATCTATAAATCCATACTACATTATTTGTAGCAGCTACTGGAAAATTATGTTGTCAAGAATATACATCAGGAGCCAGTGGAATGCTGCAACTGGCTAATCCTCCACCTCGAAGCACCAGTATCTTATGTGGGTGTTGGCTCATGTCCTGGCTGCTCCAGTTTCAATCCAGCTCTCTGCTTATGACCTGGAAAAGCAGTGGATGATAGTCTAAAGCCCAGGTACCCTGCACCCACTTGGGAGACCAGGCAGAGGCTCCTGGCTCCTGGCTTTGGGTTGGCTCAGCTACAGATGCTGCAGACATCTGTATAGTGATGCAGCAGATGGAAAATCTTTCTGTCTCTGCTCTATGAAGATTTGCCTTTCCAATAACATAAATACAACTTTTAAAATAATACCCATTTACCACAGAGTTCATGAAGTGGTAATAAAACTGATATGATTATGATTCTGATGTTTGTCCAGTTATCTTTTTAAAAATGATTTACTTACTTGCAAAGTAGAATTACAGAGAGTGAGATAGAGAGATAGACAGAGATACAATCTTTTATCCACTGCTTCACTGTGCTAGACAGAAGCCAGAAGCCAGGAGCCACGAGCTGGATGGGAAGTGGAGCAGCCGGGATAAAAACCCGCGCCCATAATAAAGAAGTCAGAACTGAAATTACTATCTATTGCACTGACCAACTACATCCCACATGCCAAAATGTGGTGAGCAACCTATATTTTTATCTCCACAAGCTAAGAATTTTATCTGTACTATTAAAAAGCTGTTTAAAAAATGAGCACAGATGCAACAAAACTCTCAACAAAATAGGAGCAAACTAAATCCAACTAAGCATGAGACGACTTACCCGCCGAGACCAAGTGGGATTTATTCAATGCATGCAAGACCGAGGCATGCAAGACCAAGGCATGCAAGAATGGTTTAACATTCAAAACACAACTAACGTAATCCACCACATCAAAAGGCTAAAGAAGAGAAAAAAAGCACATAATCGTATCAATAGCTAAAGCAAATGCACTTGATAAAATCCAACATCCATTCTTGATAAAAACACTTGACAGATTTTCATCTTCTAGTCTGCACATAAGAAGCTTAGAGATAGCTACTCTCTTCCAATGAATCACACATAGCTGAGGAAAGTACATTTCCAATTCTTGGGGACAAGAGGTAACTTGGCAAACCAGTGCCCCCCACTGACAGATGAATACAGAGAAAAGAAACCCAAGAGCTTTAACCTCTGTGGAGGGAGGTGGGGGAGTTGTGAAAACTAAGGCCAAAGTGGTAAAAATTGTAAAAACTAAACGGTAAAAGGGGTTGTTGCAGTGGCATAATTAGGTGGAGCCTCCAGCTGTGGTGCTGGCATCCCACATAGACAGTTCATGTCCTAGCTACTCCACTTTCAATCCAGTTCCCTGTTTACCACCTAGGAAAGCAGTGGAGGATGGCTGAAGTCTTCGGGCCACTGCACCTACAGGGGAGATGAAAAGAAAGCTGCTAATAGTTTCATACTTCAGATTGGCCCAGCTCTAGCTAATGTGGCCAACTGGGGAGTGAACCATTAGACAAAAAATTTCTCTCCCTCCTTCTCTCAGTATAACTCTGCCTTTCAAATTAAAAACTTAAAAAAACTCCAGAGATCTGGTCATAGGGGACTCCATTTTTGTGCATTTTCCTTCTGAATCTAAACCTGGTTCTCACAATGAATACTACAGAAAAACCCCCTCACGCTTCTCTCCTACAGAGAGGGCGAAAGCAATCATTTTCAAAAATGCATTCTGATCTTCTCAAAGTCTTGCTGCAAAATAAACTAATTAGCCACAGTGTAATCTGTTCATTTTTGTTTTTTAAATCACATTCTAACAGACCTAAAATAAGAGAAATTTCAAAATCCAGCACCCCTCACCATCCTCTCCCACCTGAGGAAGAACAGCAGGAGACTGAAAGGCAATCATGAAGTCCATGGTTCAGGAACAGAGGCTATAGTCCACAAAACACTGCTCTCCTATGATGTGAAAATGCCTCACAGTGACAATCCTAAATCCACCCTCCTCTTGTGTCATTACTGTCACCCACCTTATTTATACAGAAAATATATACTATGTACACAAAAGTGGAGGATAAGAGTAATAACATATGAAGTCAAATATAGTAACAAGTAGAGTGACATTCATACAATTACATCAAAAAAATCTTTTGAATGTAAATAATCTAAAAATGCACCAAATAAAAAGTATTGTGGTAAGTGGGTCAAAAATAAGATCTAGCTATATGTTCTCTACCAGAAATCTACTTTATAAAGACACAATTTATTAAAAGTGGATGGGGAGCCCAGCGCAATGGCTCAATTGGATAACCTTCCCACTTTAAGTGCCAGGATCCCATATGGTTGCCAGTTAAGAGTTCAAGCTCCAATTCTCATCCAGCTCCTTGCTTATGGCCTGGGAAAGCAGAGGATGCCCTGAAGCCTTGAGACCCTGCACTCACATGGGAGACCTGTTCCTAGCTTTAAATTGGCTAAGTTCAGATCGTTGTGACCACTGATCGTTGTCAATGAACGAGGGGATGGAAGCTCTTTCTCTTTCTCTTTCTCCTTCTCTCTCTAAATCAGCCTTTCCAATAAGTAAATGAATCTGAAGAAAAAGAAAGTGGATGAAGAAAGACCACTAACACTCATCTAAAACAGCAAAAAATGGTATCAGAGTACTTCAAAAGGTTTGTAGGAAAACAGAACTAAAGTTTATTGGCGTGGGTTTTCAACACAGTAGATGGAACAGCTAACTCAATGGAATGCCACATCCTATGTCAAAGTGACTTAGGATAAAGTCCCCATTCTAGGCTTGGGATCCAATTTCTTGTTAATGTGCACTCTGGAAAACAGCAAGTAACAGACAACAAGTTCTTAGGTCCCTGCTACCCATGTGACAGACCCAGATTTAGTTTTGGGCTTCCAGGTTCAGCCTGATACAGCCTTGACCACTATGGGAAGACAAAAGACTATGCCTTTCGACCTTTTTCAAAAAAGAAAAGTCTATTCTGGTGGGGAAAAAAAAAATGGTAGATGCCAAGCAGACTTTTCACAGTAACATCAGAGTCCCATATAATTTCAAATATTTTTCACATCTTTTAAATTTCATTTTTCACAAACATTATGAAGATTTCTCATTCATTTCTGTAAAATTGAATATCTAGTCCCTGAAATCTGTATATTAAAAACCTAATCCCCAGGATGACAGCATTAGGACACACAGGGCCTTTAGAAACTGACAGGAGATAAAGGCAAAGATGTTATGAATGGGATTGGTGTCCATACAAAGGAGGACCAACAGAGCTCCTTCAGCCCTCCACCACATGAGGAGCTAGTAAATGATTGTGTCTAGGAGCCAAGAGTGGGCCTCCGCAGACACGCCAACTGCCAGCACCATGAGCTTAAATTTCCCAGCCTCCAGAGTGACAGGAAGCATTTCTGGGCTGGGTGCTTCCTATGAAGCATTAGACACTATTAGGTCCAGGTCCTAGCTTGGCTTCCAGTTCCAGCTTCCAGCCAGAGCACATGCTCAGAAGGGGCATGGCTCAAGCAGTTAGGCTCTGCCACCCACATGCGAGATTCAGCTTCAGTTGCTGGCCTCCCGGCATGTGGGGAGTGAATCATGGAGTAAACACTGGCAAATGTACCTGTTTCTTCCAAAAAAAATTAAGAAAGTTTTAAAAGTAAATTTGCTGGGCCCGGCGTGGTGGCGCAAGTGGTTAAAGGTCCTCGCCTTGCACGCCCGGGATCCCATATGGGCGCCGGTTCTAATCCCGGCAGCCCCGCTTCCCTTCCAGCTCCCTGCCCGTGGCCTGGGAAAGCAGCAGAGGACGGCCCAAAGCTTTGGGAACCTGCACCCGTGTGGGAGACCCGGAAGAGGCTCCTGGCTTCGGATCGGCATAGTATCGGCCCGTTGCGCTCACTTGGGGAGTGAATCATCGGACGGAAGATCTTCCTCTCTGTCTCTCCTCTCTGTATATCCGCCTTTCCAATGAAAAAATAATAAAAATAAATCTTAAAAAAAAAAAGTAAATTTGCTTTATAAGACATCTACTCTGTATTTGTTATGGCAGCACAAAAAGAATAAGAGCACATTTGAGAATAAGAGAAGTTATCAGGAATAACAGAAGCATAAAATAATGATTAAGAAGTGTATTCTCAAAGAGCTAATGATCCTTAATGTGAATGCACTTGAAACAGAGCATGAAAGGGGCCAACTTTAACATAACCAGAAGATACAGAACAATTCACTATCATTGCTGTAAACTTCAAAATGGCTTTATGAAAAGTGGGCAGATCTCGGGTTGAGATTGTGGCTAGAGGGTTAAGCACCACTGCCTGCAACACTGGCATTTCATATGGACACCAGTTCAATTCCTGGCTGCTTCTGATACAGGCCCCAGCACATGTGCCTGGGAAGGCAGAGGAAGCAGAACACATGCTTGGACCTTTACATCCACATGGGAAACCCAGATAAGCCCTGGCTATTGCGGCCATTTGGGGAGTGAACCAGCAGATGCAGATGGATGATCAATATAGTCACCCTTTTTTCTTTCTCTCTCTCTGTCTCTCTTTCTCGCTCTCTTTTTCTCTGAGGATGGCTGTGGGTGTTTGTGTAACCCTGCCTACCATGTAGAAAATCAGCCAGTTGAAATATCAACTAAATAATAAAATCAATTAATATAGTAGATATCTAGACTTTTGTCAAAAATAACAGAACATGTTCCCATTAAACAAAACATTCCCACAGACAACATTCTAGGCCATAAAGCACATCCTAGCACATTTAAAATAATAGTATTCATATGGTATCTGTTTTCAGAACACAAAGGAATAAAACTGAAGGTCAACAACAGAACGATAGCTGGAAACTTGGAAAAATATGTAGAGCTTAAACAACAAATGTATTATACATCAAAGCGGAAGTCAGAATTTTTGAAATATTTTTACTTAAAAAAACTTAAAACACAATTTGTCAAAATCTGGGATACAGCAAAAGTCATGTTCAGTGGAAAGTATATGGCTTTGAATTCATTGTATTCAAAGTTCAAAATTAATCACTTAAGTTTCCATCTTGAGAAGGCAGAAAAAGAGGAAATTAAACACACAAGCAGAAAAAAAATAACAAAGATTAGATCAAAAAAGCAAAGAAACTGAAAACAGGAAATCATTAGAAAAAAATCAATGTAAACTAAAGCTGGTTTTTGAACAGAATATGTCTTTAATCAAGGAAAGAGAAAAAAAGAGCAGATTACAAATATCAGAAATTAAAATAGGACATCACTATAGGGCCCAAAGATATTACAAGAATACTAGAGACGGCGTCACGGTGCCACAGGTAGGTGCCTGGGATGTCCACACAGCATGCCAGAACACCTAGAACTGAGTCCACCTTCACATGCACCTGGAGAAGCAGCAGCAGGTGCCCCCACATCTCCCACATGGGACTCCAGGAGCTCCTGGCTCCTGGCTACAGCCTGGCCAAGCACTGGCTATGGGCACTAGGGGAGTGATGCATTCAACAGAAAATGTTTCTTTGTCTCCCTTTTCCTCCTTCCTCCTCCTTCCCTCTCTCCCTCACAGTATGTACATGTGTGTTGGGGGCGGGGTTTAACATGTGCTTTCAAATAAATAATCTTCCTAGAAATTAATAGAGAGAGGCCAACATCATGGCATAGCGGGTCATGCTGCTGACCGATACCAGAACCCATATGGGCACTGATTTGTCCTAGCTTCTCCAACTCTGAGCCAGATGCCTGTTAATGGCATAAGAAAAGCAGCAGAAAATGAACCAAGTGTTTGGGCCCATGCCTCCAATGTGAGAGACCCAGATGAAACTACTTGCTTCAGGATGCCCCAGCGCTGGCCACTGTGGCCTTCTGGAGAGTGAACTAGCAGAGGGAAGATCTCCATCTCTGCCTTCTTCTAACTTTTACAATA